TTGTGATGAGAAGCGTCGGATTGATAGCTTAAGAGGCACAAAAAGAAGCAAAAGATAGTCACAGATTCCAGAGCCTCTCAGGCTGCTATGCCTACAATTCCAGCAACAAGACAAATCATAGCCCACCTAACCTCTCAAACAAAGCCAACCCCACGGTTAAAATTTTCAATTCTTTTCCTCTCTGCTTCTTACTTCTTCCATCTTCTCTCTGCAACAGACTTGAATCCCTCCATTCTCTCTGTTTCTCTTGTGAATCATCATGCCCGTTGTTTCAGACGCTTCGGCAACTGCAGAACAGATAAAATGGAGAAGACCAAGGAGTCATTTTGGTCACCTCATTCAAGAAGCAGATCCGAACCCTGCAATCCCTTCGATAATCCAGTCCACTCGCTGCAAATCAACCATTTCGTCTCTTCTTCTCTCTACTTTCTCTAACAACGCGTCGAATGAAAGTATACAGGGCAACGGCATCAACATCGGCGGCAGTGGTAGTGGCCGTGGCAAGAAGAAGAACAACTTCTCGGCCGCTGCAACCTTCAGGGGACTCGGATGCACGGCCGGTGCGTCGCAGCAGGTTTCGGTTCCGGCGGTGATTCGGACGTCGGCGGACTGGCAAGGGAAGAAGGCTAGGAAGAAGAAGCACAAAAGAAATAGCGCCAAGACCTGTCCTGGGGTTCTTGATGGTTCTGGTTCTGCTAACTGCGTTGATTTTCAAGACGTCTGGTGTGGTCCCGGCCTTGGGTTCTCAGCAGATGCTGCCGCCTCTGTTGATTGCGTCGTGGCGAGGAAGAATGTTTCTGCGAGAGGGAAGATTGATGTGGAGAGGATGACTCACAGAGAGGTATTCTTGTTTCTTAGTTTCTACATGATGATTCAGCATCCTTCCTCTGTTTATTCTTCACTCTTCTTTAACCTAATCTTACAATCTTCTTTAACTCTGTTTTTTGTGATTGTGTAATGTTCACCTTCTAAGTTCCTAATGGGAAATGTATTATCTTGTCAGCATTAGGAGTTGATAAGTTCTTCCTTCTGGTCTATCTGTTTCTTTCTTCATCATTCATCAAGATGACGAAGGATCGGTCTTCTTCTTCCTCTTCCAACTTCATCGTTTAATGCCTTTCTTTTTTTTTCCCCAGTAACTAGCATAACCATCCCTCATTTACGCAATATAAAAATTTTTAACTTTTTGTTTAGATTTCAAATATGAACATGATAATGGAGACCCCATTCCTATCATGTCTTGGCCTTTGTTTTTCACTTTCTTCATTACACAACAGGATAAGGGGGATTGGTTTTCTTTCTGTGAATTTTAATGTGCTGTGCGACTTTTTTTTTAATAAAAACAAAACAGAATCTGGCATCTCCATCTTTTATTTACCGAGCATAAAATTGTAGGTCAAATTATTTTTTATTTTTCAAATATAATGAAAGTCGTCAAGTTGATCCCAAAAAAAAAAAAAAAAGTCGACAAGTTTGAAAAACGATTCCTTGGACGGGCTTGTATTATAAGGCTTGGTCAACTACGGCCGCTGATGATAATATTCTCAGCCTAATGACGTATTAGTAGTACCAACCGGCGGATCCAGCCGCGTACACGCATTTACTTTCTTTTCTAGTTAAGGACGCCAGACGAAAACTTTTAAGTACTTTGGAACGGCCCGGGAAATAGGATTATTATAAGGTTTTTATTGTGTGAATGAAGAAGAGAAATATTGAGTTGTTGATAGATGTTTAAAGGATTAGCTGATATTTTGATTTCATGTGTGGTATTGTATATCCTGTTTTGGATTGGGAGATTTCTTCAGGGCCTGATGATGGTTCATAAATGTTGTCAGCGTGTATCCTATCTTGGAAGACGAACAGTGAACCCAGAAACCATCTCTTTTCTGGATAATGATCCTGATATCTTCCCAACGCGCCCTCCTGCTCCTGATTCCTATGGAACTTCAAGATATTATCGTCCTGTTCGACATCCTTCGTCTGAAGGTTTTGCTGAGGTTGGTTCAGGCTTTTTGCATTCTTCATCTTATATTGTTTATCAGATTCTCCTCCCCTTCTTTGAGGAAATAAAAGTTGAAAATTCTGAATTTGGATTTGATTACTGGAATATGTCTTTCATAATCTGACTTACTACTACCTGGAATGTGCCTGTTATGATTTTGGTCGGAAATATACTTCAACATGCCTTGTTATTTCTATTGTAGAGAAGGATGAATTCGTGTATGATTTGCATGTATGCATGTTGCCCAGCTAGAAAGGGTAACATGAATGTGTTAGGCTGCATTTTTTTTTTTTACCTGAAATGAGATGGACAGTACCACAAGGATGATGAAAGCTTAAAAGTGCCAATTATCCTACATGAGATGGTAAACGGCACCGAGGTCTGGTTTTCAGGTAGTAGACGTGACTTTATGGACTTTGGTTTTTAAAAGGCAATGATCTGTTGGAGAAGGCGTTCTCTGCATATGCACATAGGTTGATGGGATGATATTGGTGGAAGGGAGGTTAAGCAATAGCTCTTAGAGCTATGTGATTGAATGATTTGAAGGTTTTGGTTCATCTCATTGAGAGGTTGACAGCTTAGTTCATCAATCATTATGTTGGCATTCAGCTCTTACTAGAACTGATATACATTGAATTGGAGTTTGCTTTTCTGGTTGATGAGTCAGGACATGTTGATGTACATAAAGTAACTGTACATAGCCATTGATCTACTTCATGCCATTGAGAAACACGGTCGGAATAAGCCTGGAATAAAGAATGAAGCTTGCCGATTGACTTAAAACTTGATGAGTTTGAAATCAGTTTAGTACTGTAGGCCAAGTATGATGTGTTTGTGTGCGAATTTGTGGCGATCTGGTTGCAGATTTTTCTGTGAATATTTGGCCTCTAGATTAGTGGAGTCAAAAAGACCAGTTGATTTGACCCTTTATATTACGAAGGCTATGGTATTTTACTATTTTTAGACTTGGCTCCCATGTAATTTGCAAGACTAAAATCTCTTATGCATACAACCTCTATGGTTCTACCTCGTAGTATTCAATCCCAAATTAGAATGAACCAATTTTGCATTTTGATGTAGTAGGGCTGGACTTGGACAACCGAAATTTGTTGAAAGCAAAACAATTTGGAGTTTATTAACCGTGTTCTAAAAGATTAACAAGAAACAATACACAGGAGGGCACCTTTTGTTTTGTTAAATCATAGTTACCATTTTCACTATTTTTGGATAATTATGAATGGGTCAGTTTCCCGTGATATGCTTGATCACAACAACTCAAGTTAATGCATAATCTCTAACATGAGGGGCAGATTTTAGTCAGTTGAATGGAACCTAAATATTTAATCATGGACGTAGCATGAAGAGCAATATCCGTTATATGCTTAATGCTTCCATGACAATGGGTGTCTTATGTTAGGTTTATTGCTAATTTGTTATGTATTTCTTAACCGTTTCTGATTTATAGCTAGATTTTGTTCCATCTATGTTTTTTTAGTCTTTATCAACATGTCTGATCCTTCATATGTGTTTTTGTAATTATTGCTGGACCTGTTTAGATAATGATGCTTCAAGGAGGTCTGCTAATGGGGGGGATAATAGATTCACATGACCAATTTAGAGACTGGAGACTTGATGTTGATAACATGTCTTATGAGGTTGGCGCTCGCTGTCTCTCTTTCTCTCAATTTTTCAAGTGTAATAATATTTCTGCTAGCTGTTTGGGTGCCTGAATATCTTCGTCTTATGACTTATGTTCTGTCAAATGCTTTCTGGTTTCTGTGGCCTGCAGCAACTGCTTGAGCTTGAAGAGAAAATTGGTTATGTCAACACTGGTCTTAAAGAAGACGAGATAGGATGCCACATAAGGAAAGTTCAATATCCATTTTTGAGTGAATCATTGAAGCACCATATTAACAAAAAGTGCAGCATTTGTCAGGTGAGTTAGCAAAAAGCACTACAGCTTGAAGGGTTTGTCAGTGTCATACGTTGTGAACTGAAACGATATATATAATGAGATCTATATGGGTTGTGAACAGGAAGAATATGAAGGAGATGATGAGGTGGGGAAGCTAAACTGTGAACACAACTATCACTTTGAGTGCATAAGGCAATGGCTTGCACAGAAAAATTTCTGCCCAGTCTGTAAGCAAGAAGTTGTGGTTCGTCACTAGGAAACATGACCCTGATTCCCCCCCCCTTTTTCCGCCTTTAAAGAAAAACAGCCATATATTCACCCTGAAGTTGGTGTATAGTTTTTCATATCTAATATAAGCAAGATTCCATTCTTTGCTTTCAATCTTCATTTCATCCCATCTTGAGTCTTTTGGTCTGCTTTGTGAGTTGGCATTATGTTATTTGTCAATGATGACTGGACTTACCAAAATTATACGCCTTGCGTTGACTTGGTAATATTTGTTTATTGGATTGTGATTCTGGAAATGGAGATGGTCATTGCAGGCTATACGTCATAATGAAATCACTAATCTCTCTCTCTCTCTCTCAGAATCTGCGACTGACGATTAAATAGATGGCTAGAACTCTCATCTGTTTTGTGAAAAAGAAAAAAGCATCTCTTCACCGTTCCCAGCGGTACAACTTTATTTCATGCTTTACCTTTGAAGATCAATAATGTCATGAAAGTCACGCACAAGAGCTCTAACACGAAAGTGACAGACGACTTGGTGGGGACCAAAACTTTTCTTGTATAACAGAATGAACTATTACCAATCTTTCACAAACATGATGAATTTTACCTTGGAAGAAAATCACAGCAAGACAAGGCAAATATATCTATGAAACATTCAAGCGTATTATTCATGCATATGACGTAACATACCGAAATGCTTAAACAACAATGATAAAAAGGATAAAGCAAAAGACTTGAAAAGATAAATTTGTGTTTGGCATGAAAACATATAAAACAACGTTCAGACAAGCTTGCGAAGAAATATATATATATATATATATACACACACGTGTGCGCACGCGGACCAACATGTGTTTGTAAGTGCTTCATATTCAATGTCATTCACGTTCTCTTTACAACTTTATGGACTTCAAGTGTTGGGTTGGGCTAATAATATATACAACGGAAAGTCTTTCTTTGCCTTGGATCATATATTATATAAAACACACACACACACAGGATCTCGAAGGGGTATCTTCTCTGCAAAGAACTGATCCTGTCATCTTTTTGAAGTATAGTTAAAAAAGAAAGAAAAGATGCGCATGTCATCTAAGAGGAGAAATGGGCTAATCCATGTCATGGTGAATGAGAAACTCTATTAAACATGGATACACTTGATCTGCAACCTGCATTCAAACAGGGAAAAAGTGACACCAATAAGAAATTACTTCAAATGAAAAACTCAATTGGTCAGATTACATGCAATCCCTGTCTCATAAAAAAAGAAAAATCAAATATAATCTCACCTTACGACCCCCCACCAAGTCATAGTGGGCATAGTGTGGACCTCCGGGCTCACCAAAAACCTTATAGGTAATCAAGTCTTCAGGAACAAGCTTAGCCGTTTCTGTTTCATATATGTGATCACATCCGTCAAAAAACTAAAGTTAGGTACAGTTTTTATGTTTGACATATGTTCTTCGATAAAAACATAATATCTAAACAGCTTTTTTCAACTCCACATACCGTATACAGCTTCGGGAGGGCAGATTAGATCTTGGTCACCAGCGACTGCTAAGATAGGCACCTTGCTCTTTGGGAGATGTTCTTTGTAGAAGAAAGTACCACTCCTATCACATAAACCACCCTTCTCGAAAACTGATTTTAACTGTAAGAGAAGCTTAGAAGGTATTGTACCTTCCATTTCTATGATTCAGTCTTTTAAAAGTTGGGATATAGATTATGCAGGAGTATGTGTAGGCTGCAATGGCACTTACAGAAGTTGTTCAAAACAAGTTTTTGGAACAGCTTTTGATCCATTTCTTGAGCCGAAATCTGATAATTTAGCCATGATAAAGCATAAGGAGGATAGTTCGCGAGAGGATAAACGGCAGCAAGTATTGGCCCTACTGGAATAACAGGAATCTTTAATGCCTGAGCAGGCTCCGCCTGCAAATGAAGAACTGATTTACTTAATTTATTATAATGTTAAACTTAGAGAGACATCATTGGAGAAAACAAAAATGCATCATCACAGTTTCATTTATCACTTGCCAGTGGTAAAAGCAACTTGAGAGATGATCTTGACGGTGAATAGTCAAGTGACGATGCCAATGTAACAACTGATGCCAGCCCAGAATGCTTTCCAAGAAAACCTGAAATTGCAAACATCAAGAACTTCACTATTGTTTACATTCTTTGTAATAAGATTTTGAAACACAAAAATAACCAACATCCCTCAACACTTGAATCATTCTAATCACAGGCATTACACTGTTGAGTTTGAATATGAACACAGTTTCACCTGGGAAATAAATGGATTAGATGACAGTTATACAAGTGAATTGATTCACAAACTCAATGTTCTTAAGTACTTGTTAGGTCCAGAGTATTGTTTCTTCCAAGGCCAAATGGAAAACAGTTTTCCCAGTCTTTTTAAGCATTTTGGGCCCAAGATGACGCGTAAGGGCTTATGGCTGGGTTTGCAGCTACTGAAAGGTGCGAGATACAGCTGAGGTTCAAGTCAGATCATGAACCATGCTGTGTAGACAAGCGTGCACGAAATGCAGAGAAAATTTAATTTTGATGGTTCTTTCACAGAAGCATGAAAGTAAATGAAAAGGCAATTCAGCAAAACTTACGACAGCGTGAGAGAGTTGCATATAACAGGATACCCCCCATTGAGTGACCAATAGCGTGCACTTTTCCATCCTTCGGTTGGCATTTATTCCTTATATACTCCATCTAATGCGAAGCAGAAGTACAATATCAATGACAAACTTATGAATCAATACTACTATAAATATATACTACAACTTGTTGGAATATATACATAATTATCATGAAGGAATGTCACCTCACCGCAGCAGGCACATCCTCTTCCAGGTAATGGTCGAAGTCCCAATCATTATTCGTAACCAGCTCAAGTTGTTCCTGAAATTCCTGCATGGAGGCTATAAGACGTTCTTGCAGCTCCAAAACGTGCGCTGGGAATAATGGCTGATCCCCTCCAGTAGTAGTCTGAAGCTGACGTTTCAAATCCCTGATTTGACTAGCAATAGTAGAATTTTGCCTCATTCCCCGCAAATCTGAGGGAAAAAAGGATTTATTTTGTTAGTTTTATTTTAAACATAAAATCAGTAGATAGTAAGACGTAGAAGCTCTCCAGGGTATGACACCGACCCCCACTGATAACGTCTGAAAATTTATTGGATAATCTTGTAGAGACATCCATCATCTTCGGTGTTGGTGGTAGTTCCCCATATTTAGTTACTATCTCATATTCTGACTCTCTGATTTTCATGGAAGGAGTTTCTGAGACAAACGAAGCTCCAAGGTCGTTCATATGTTCCTCTGAGTCACCTCCGCGCGTGCTTAATCCAGAACCACGAACTTCAAGGGTCCATGTATCAAATCCTTGTGCAGACATGAACCGAGCAAATGAAGACTGAAAGCAAATATATTGGTTATACAAAAGATCTAATGATGAATTCATAATAAAGAAAAAGGTCGTCAAGTTTTGGCGTTTAAAAGGAAAGGGCTACCTCGGGGGAGAGATCATAGCCAATAGCATTGGTTGCAACGCCTGACAATAATAAAAGTGGGTGGTTCCTGGTAGGTGCCTGAAAATAAAGTTCTTTTTTTTTTTTTTTGCATTACTTTCAAACGAAACCATCACGAATTTCGGTTTTCTCTGATGAATTATCGAAAGAGAGCTGAATGAAGCAACTTTCAAACAAATAATGGAATTCTAAGATCCCCAGGAACAAAGAAAGTTGAATAATCCAAGTGCCAGATTGAAATTACAAAACGGAGAAGGTGATAGAGAGAACCTGGGAAGAAGGCAGGTAGCGCCAGAGAGCGAGCTTCCAATCGGAGTCGGAAACAGGGACATAGTGAAGCTCGTCGGCGGTGCATAACGACCGCCGCTTATCGTTTTTCCTCCCCCGAAGCCAATTAAGAAATGCCACAGGCCTCGCCCGGAACGGCACCGACACCCTCCGGCGGGCAAAACTCAGAGCCTCCAGATTGGGGTCAAGGTGGCAAAATCCATGGCTAATGCGGTTAAGAAGCATGATTTTTGGTGTTGGGGCAATGAAGCTTAAAATTCGTTGATTTTAGCCTTTGAAAAATAAGAAGTTAAAAACCCCCGCATGTTAGGATTAGTTTTGGATGGAGTCTAAAATTTCTGGATTTATACATGATTGCGATGCGATGCGATGCGATGCGAGGTCGGTCTGTGCGGGAAGTTATTTGAAGACGTTGAAACTTAAAAGAGTGGGGAAATGGGAAAATTCCTGTTATGAACACGTTTCTTTTTAACGAATTATCAATTTATCACTTTTATCACTACCTGTCCAGTCTAATTTAACTCTTTGTTTTTACGCGTTTCTTCACCATCGAAAGAGATTAGTCTTATTACACCAAAAAAAAAAAAAAGGAGACATAGATTAGTCTTCTATGAAGATTGAAGTGGGTCCTTTGATATTCATCGGATAAGAAGAAGATTAAAAATGATTGAAGTGGGTCCTTTGATATTCATCGGATAAGAAGAAGATTAAAAATGGTTTTTTATTGTGAATGCAAGAAATTGCGTGGCGTGGTGGAAAAGATGAATTGATATTTTTTTATATAACATTAATAATTTAATTATTTTTCATTAACCTCGTAAGTTAATTAGAATAAATTTAAATTTAAATTTAAATAAAAGTTACTAGTATAATGTGAAAATTCATATCAACTTAGCAAGTTGAATCATTAAACAATTGTTCATTAATAAAATATTTTATTCATGTTAATTTAACTACGATTCGAGTATAATTTTAATTATTAACCTTTAAGATAGTTAGTTGATTAGTTCAATCACCGTTTCAATTTTTATGTGTTAAATACTAATATTTTTTGTTTTAAAATTTAATTTGATCAATATATACTTTTAAATTATACACAAAATGTCACGGAATGATATTTGCCCAATGCACGTCTCCATTGGAGAGATCCAACTTCGACTGTGATGGTGACGGGAAACAACCACTCTAGCCGTGCGTTTTCAAGCTTATCAAATACTGTTAAAAAATATAAAATATTTTTAATTAAATTTCACTCTTCAATAAAATAATTATTTATTTTTAAATTAATTTTATTTTTTTATATTTACTTCTATTAAACACTTTATAATAAATAAAAATACTTTAAAAAAATAATAATTATGTCCTAAATATTAAAAATATTATATATTTTTTTAATAGAAAGATATCTTTGCCTTCTAAACGTTTGCTCTGACCATAAATGGCCCCGTTATCCTATGGCAACGTCACTCTCCATTTGTTGAGAAAGGTCATGAATTCGAACGGAGCGTCAATACGTAGGGTGTGTCTCCCACTCTTGGCCTTCCCTTCTTCCATTTGGGGCGAGGCCAAAAGAATAAAGCTTTGATAAAATTTCAATTATTCTTTTTAAAATTTACATACAAATGTAACAAAATAACAAGCCATAGTTTCTTTTGTATTACATACGTAGGTGGCATGCTCACCAATGAGAAACTCACAAATTACTTTTTAAAAAAAAATTACATACAAATATATGAAAACAATCAGCTATATTTTCTTTCGTATTAAGTAGAAGACATGCTTCTTAGAGAGGTATTTGCAAGCTGCTGACTAAATTAATCTTGATAAAAAATATGAGATACCGTACTCATGCAACAAAAAATGGTTAGACCATCTCTTTTGCAAAGATGCAATATCTCTTGAATTGAAGCGTTTCAGAAATCTTTTGTCAAAAAATTTAAGCGCTTCAGCAAGAGTTGGGATTTTGGGCCAAGAGAGGCAGAGATGGTGGGTGTCTTTCTGTCAACGGCTCATATTTTCTTACAATTTGATAAATGGTTTTATTCCAAACTGCCCCCAAAAAAAAAAAAACAATAGAAAGATTTATTTCACAATCTAACCTTGAAATTTACTCCTTCCGGATCAAAATATAAGATATTAATAATTAATTTATGATTTATTAAAAATATTAGTTGAAATCTTAATTTCTTAAAAAAATATACATCTTTTTATTTTTACTCTTATTAAACCATTTATAAAAGTACTTTAATAATAATAATTAAAATTTTAATGCATTATTTAAAAAAAAGTTATAGAAAAAGCAAAGATATAATTGAAAAAATAATTATAAAAATTATTAAATATTTTATACTTTGAAACAAGTAAAACTTTTAAAAAATATTTTATATTATGGTCAAGGGAATAAGTTTATTGACTACTTTAATATCCTACGCGAGATGCTCATTTTAAATTATTCTTTGCTAGGAAATTCAGATTCTGCTGTAGACAGGGCAAAACTGCAGAGAAAATCAAACTATTGAAGTTTTCTGAAATCTCGTGTTTTTGTTAGAGGAAGACAAATTGCCAAAGTGACTTTTCAACTCCACACAACACAAGTAACAATGCTGATGAGGAATTGTCACCGGAAAACAAATCTAACGGCAATAGCTTGCCTTATTGAAATGAATTTCTGTGATCCAGAAAAAAAAAGACAAAGAAAAACTAGATTTGCAATGTATGATCTCACGCTGCATTCATTTTTCATATGGAGATAATAGTGGTGGAATGAGAAAAGAAAACTAAACACAAACTAATCCTTATGAAGATTCTGTAGGAACCTAAAGTATCTCCATTACTAAAGATTGAAAGCGATGTTCCAACCCCTAATGGCTATGTAGTTCTGTTTGGCTGCTGAATGCTCTCTGCAGGAAATTATTGCGTAGATGCATCTGAAAGTGCCGCCGCAGCCGCAGGGGTCATGGACTGGTATTGAGAAGGCAAAGGAGTAGCTTGCTGCTGTTGCATGTAGTATGCTTGTTCTTGTGCAGGTCCACTATAATCATAACCATAATTAGTTGTTGAAACAGGAGGATGAGCAGCAGCAGAAGAGGAAGCAACTGCTATGGACTGTGGTTGGTGATGGATCTGAGGCACACCCACAAACTGTTGTTGCTGATATTGCCCAGAAGGCATTTGAACGAATGCCGGAGTGGGAGGCACAGGTGCTTTGTAAACAGTCTGAGCCACCTCAGGTATGGAAGCTGTGGCAGGCTTGGTGGGGTAAACAGGTGGAGTGCCAGCAACACTTTGGGGTATTAATGGCCTGCTTGATGTTGTTATCAAACTAGGGTCAGCTATATTGGGTTGCACTGCCATGTTGTATGGTTGAGCGTGTCCTACAGGCATTACATAAACTGGGTACTGCTGATTAATTGGATGAGGAATTTGCTGTTGTGAAGGTGTGGTATAAACTGGGTAGTATGGAGACATTGGAACTTGACCTGTAGCTGCAGGGTGGGGGATATAATGGGTACTTGCATGAACAAATTGTTGCTGCTGCTGCTGCTGGATTTGCTGACTTTGATCCAACTGTGAGCGTAATGTGTAATTAGAATCCTGAACTCCTTCTCTTTGGTACCCAGGAATGTGATCTGATAGTTCACTTTTATTGGGATGTGATAATGTTGGTGCTTTCTGATCTGCATATGCAGCTTGTACTTGGTCCTGATAGTAAACAGCCCTTGAGAAAGAGGTTGCAGACGCAACACTACTGTCACTGAGCACAAAAATCATTATTATTAAGAATAAATGTATACACTGAAGTTGATAAAAGGAAAGATGCAAAAATAAAGCAGTACCTTGCCACTGAATCTGGAGAAGGCAAATTTAAACCACCACTGGTCCTTGGTTGCACAAGCTGCAAAGGCAAAGGAGGCTTCCGAAGCCCTGCTGGTACTGCTTGATCTGATCTTTCGTCATCAGAGATGACCCGATTCATATTCTCACCAGTCACCAAAGCTGGTGATGCCATGGTCATAGGTGCAGGGATTGTAGGCATAGGAGCAGACAACATAGTCATAACATACCCTTCATCTTGCTTAATCCCATTAGCACCAAAGGTCATTTGTGCTAACTGCTCCTCAATCCCTGGTCTCTGTTCTTCCTGGAGCCTGCTGTTACCGGTTTCATCAACATGAACCCGAATTGGAGGCAGATTAGCCATTGAAGGGGATGAAGAAGAAGACCCACATGATGAACTGTTGTCCACCAGAGGCGAGTCAGGCAAGGAATGGACATCTGGCAAAATTTTGACCTGTTTGTTGTTATCAACCGGAAACTCTGTAGCCTGAGCCTCCAGATTGTTGCTAGAATCATTAGCTGGAACCTTATCAAGGTTCACGACGCCGCCGCCAACAGTAGCAGAATCCGATGCGCCACGGCTGAGAATCCCAGAGTTGTTGAGAGCGTCCACGAACCATGTCTCTGACTTGGCATCATCAATGAGTGAACCCATTGAAACTGTGGACTCTGGCTTAGAGAAAAACAGAAACAGCCTTAACCTTGTAGGCCTAGGAGGAGCAGCCGCCGCCGTTAAACGCTCGTGTTCTTCGATCATGTTCTCTAAATCTTCGTCGGTGGAGACTGTTATGAGATTGTCAAGATCTTCATGGGGTAGTTGGTACTTGAGGGTGAAGGGTCGGCCATTCAGCAGGGTGCGAGAGAGCCTGCCACAGAGCTCCTTCAGGGAGGAATGCCGATCGACGACGACGATCCTGGTGTCGCCGCCGACATAGCAGAGAGTCTTGTCATGTGGACGTGGCATGATGTGGCCGCCATAACTGCACATCAAACGAAGCTTGGCTCCAGGAATAGGAGGGAGAGGCTCATCAACCCAGTTGTCAACAATGCGGGAGCGAGGAGAGTTCTCCACTGACTCAGGGAAGATCAACTGATTATTTACAGCGTTTGTTGTGGTCGGAGCTGCAGTGGCCTGGAGGGGTGCCGTTGAAGGTGGTGCCGGCGGCTGCGGATCCATCAGAGACAGTGCCTCTGGTGTGGCCGGAATTCAATAAAAGAAAGAGAAACGGAGAGAACTGGTGGAAGCTGATACTCTCATAGGTTGATGCTAATTCCATTCTGTGACTTTATAAGTGAAAAGTAGTCACAAATGGATACTCCCAATGGAACGCTGAGTAGGCCACAGCTTGTTATTCTCTTATGAATTTTTAAATTTTAAAAGATGGCTTTAATTTAATTTCCCAAGTATTGAATGACAAGTTTCAAAGAGCAAAAAGCAGTTTTAAAACAGACCATAGATTACACACCATTGAAGTGGCGGAGAATCACTTCAAGGCTCAAGCTCAACCTTTGGCCTATATTTAGAGAAGCTCATTTCATTAATTTACGAAACA